CTGGAAAGTTTCAAAATGTGGTGTTGGAGAAGAATGGAGAAGATCAGTTGGACCGATTATGTGAGAAATGAAGAAGTGTTAATTAGAGTCAGTGAGCAGAGGAATATCCTACATGAAATAAGAAAACGGAAGGCTAATTGGATTGGTCATGTTTTACGCAGAAACTGCCTTCTAAAAGAAGCTATCGAAGGAAAGATAGATGGGCGGATAGAAGTGACAAGAAGACGAGGAAGAAGACATAAGAAGATGCTGGATGACCTTGGGGACAGAAGAGGATACTGTCATTTGAAGGAGAAAGCTCTAGATCGCATTAATTGGAGGAATTGTTTTGAAAGAGACTGTGGACCTGTCGTCTTGACAGATTACTGATGATGATGATTATTATTATTAATATAGTTCTAGTCATAAGAAAATTACAAATTAATTACTCAGATTATACTTTGATTTCATAATTGATTTTAAATAAGCTTAAAAACTATACTTTTTTGGTTCGTTATATTTTTATTGTGGTCATAGTTATTAGGTGTTAAAAGAGTCTGCAGTTTACGCAGAGCTGCAACGTACAACATAACATACAAGCATTATAAATTCTCCTCATGGAAACAAAACTAGCTGGGAGTAACACAAAGAAAAACATTTAGGAGACCATTACATGATGATTAAAAGTAAACCAACATGACAGAAGTTCTGAGAAGGGCCCCCTCATGTTGTGTCGACCTATGCCTCAACACCTAATAACTACAACCACAAAAAAACGATGAACCAAAGGACTTCTAGTTTTTAAGCTTATTTAAAACCAATTCTTAATATCAAAGTAAAATTTGAGTATTTAAACTTTGTTTTTAAGGCTAAAACTGCATTAATAATGATATTAATATTAAAATCCAAACTATATATATTAGTTTTAAATTCTTAAGCCCAGTTAAAACTACATATATGCTGGATTATATTTGTGTGCATTTGTTAGATTATATTTTAACAAAAAGGTCGTATTCACAATCCAATGATAAAATATTGTAATAATATGGACCCATATTAAGAAACACAATTTGAGAATTAAGATCGAATTCTTGTAGATTTGCCTAATGATGACCCTGTGAAGGTCGAAACATATAGCGAATGCCTTTGCTTATTAAACAAATGTTATGTTTTTTTATTGGTAGTGGGGTGGGACTAAGTCCCTTGTACTGCGGCCATTTCTGGCGTATTGTACCAGCCCCAGATGATAGGTGAGGGTGATTGTGGAGCAATTGGTGGAATGAAGATTAGCAGGGGAACGCGAAGTACTCAGAGAAAACCTGCCCCAGTGCCACTTTGTCCACCACAAATCCCACATGACCAGACTCGGGATCGAACCTGGGCTGCCGCGGTGGGAAGCCAGTGACTAGCCGCTTGAGGTATGACGTGGCCTTACGTTGATATGTTAGTACTGATTTTGTTTATGGCTATTATTGTTGTGTAGACAGTCCTGTAAACCCAATTTTATATATATATATTTTCCAAGAGTTGAGTAATGGACTCATAGAATTACATGAGAAACTTGAGGGCAAGTTGTGAGTGATAGGTCAGTAAGCATGTATGAGGAAGTGACCATTCTAATTATAAGATAGTATACCAACATTCACCCAAAAGAACAGAAGAAGAAAATATTCATTGAATAACATTCTACATTCCCTTAATTATCCTCTCTCAGGTTGTAATATTCTCCTCAGCACTTTGTTCCCAATCATCTTTATTCGCCATTCCTCTTAGGTGAGCAAGACACAAAATATAATACTCACATGAACAATGTGATAAAATTAGTTTTGTGTTATACACAACCTCTTTATTAACCGTCACAACACGACATATATCAAGGTGAATGCCCCCCTACAGCTCTGCTACATGTTTCGGCTATCAATAGCCATCATCAGGCAAATACATGGTTAAACATATATACACCACTGAACTGCAGTACTATTAAACTGGATACAATACTATTAATCATATAAAACACTTGACTTAAAACATTCAAATAATCAGATTATATAAAACCGAAGTTATATTGTAAAACAAGAATCAAATTTTAATTGATGTTTTATAACATCGAATCAGTTGTTGCTTTTGTAATTTCATACGTTCTCATGAACAAATTGGAATATTCTATATTTTTTCTTTTTGTATGTAAGATTGTATAGGAGGCTCGTGATGTAGATGTTAATATTAATTGTTTAGTCGGTGCCTCATCTTACAAAGTATTGTCCATACTGTAGGGAATGTAAACAACATCAATTAAAAATATATTCTTGTTTTAGAATATAACTTCTGTTTTATATAATCTGATTATTTGTATTTTTTACGTCAAGTGTTTTATATGATTAATAGTATTGTATCCAGTTTAATAGTACTGCAGTTCAGTGGTGTATATATGTTTAACCATGTATTTGCCTGGTGATGGCTATTGATAGCCGAAACATGTAGCAGAGCCGTAGCAGGGCATTGACCTTGATATTTGTTGTGTTGTGACGGTTAATAAAGAGGTTGTATATTGTAACACAACAGGATGCATGAAATGAAAATTTGTATTATAACCTTCAGATTTTTATAGAGGAGACAGAAAATAAAATATTTTGAACTGAACAGTAGCAAGGATCCTCAAAATTTGCATGATTTTAATTTTGATTTCTTCCAGTTATTTCCAGATGACAGTATGTAGCCTTGTATACATTATAATTTTGACATGTATTGTAGTGGTAAGACATGTACATATACTTTGATATGCATTCATATCTAGATAAACTTCCATATTAGAATTTAATAGTATCCCTTTGTTTTACCTTATACCATGTTACAACCACTACTGCAAATATGAGACAAAGAAGGGATCAGCTCTTAGGAAACTTGCTGTTTTACTAGTCAGTATATCAGAAAACAGTGACAGTCACTAGCCAGTCATGTGTTTTGAATTCTGTATATATCACTGCTTCCACGTTACAGCCCTGTAATGCTTCACTTTTGTTGTCAGATATCAAGGAAGGCCCAAAAGTCAGTTAACTGGTTAGTAAAATGTACACTAAAATGTGAAAGAAATTTCTTTATTATTTACTGTATTTACAGAAACTGTTCGCAGTGAGGTCCACCATGTTCAATGCACAACTCACAGTGCTGTGTTACTGTCCTATAAATTTACTGGCAGTTTAAATCTGAACATTCCCATTAATACAAGAGAATGTTTTAGGTTAACCCACCTTTGGGCCACTTTGTGTTATAGAATAATAAACTGAGTACTAACAGAAGGAAGATCTTTGAAATTTCCACAGACATGTCTAAAATAAACATATATCTTCTGACATTTTTTGAAATTGCACAGCCATTTAATTGTTGTAATATATTGTATAGAGTGAATCAGCCACATACTATAACCAACATCAGTCTGTTTTGTATCAATATAATGTTCAAATCTGGTGTGTTTAAGAGACAGTTTCATAGCTAGATAAATGCTTTTGGCTGGTGATAACTATGTGGACAACTAGGCAGGACTTACGCTGACAAATTGATATGCTAATAATGATTCCATGGGTCCCCCCCCCCTTATTTTTTCTTGTAGTTTCATGTTTACACATTAATACACTGCAGGCATTACCCAATGATTCTCATATGGAAGAACCACCAAGCAAAACATCACTATCAGTACAGAAAGTTCCTTACATTAATTGTGAACATGTCAGCTAGGAATGTTTGCCTCCTTAATGATAGCAGTGCTCTCTGTCACTTTGGTTTTATTTTAATTTCATAAGAATTCCTTTAATATGGTTTGGATATAGTAGCAAAGCACAAATATATGTTGATTATATGTCTTCATTAATTGTCTTCCTCGTGTTTCAATTGATGCATAAGTTTTAAGGACCAGAAGGTTTCATGTGTTTTTCTCAGGCCCTCCATGCAAATACTTCGGTAATCCCTTGAAATATGCGACACCAGCTGGATCTGAAATCCTTTCCAGTTCATCATACATAGTTATTCTCTAATTTCATCTGGTATTATTTTACACCTACTGTTTTCACCTTGAAATAGCCATTCATTCCCACCTATTTCAGTCATGTTCTTTTGTATTTCAGTAGTACTGACAGGATTGAACTGCATTGAAATCTTACTTGGTTCTTTCATATACTCATAAGTGAAACTCATAATATAAGAATTTTATCTTACAAAGTCATTTATATTTTAATTCTTCATATTCTCATGATAATTCTTACTCTGGGTTCTTGCTGATCCCCTTTTCAAGAGGGATTCTAGTAGGGTAATATTATGTAAATTTTACATTTTGTAGTACATTTTCATGCTTGTGCTTTAGAATATTTTTGTTTCTGACGCCAAATTACTAATGAATTGTGATTGTTAATCACTTTTGAGTTTCAATTTGAAATGAATGAGCTATCCAGTTGCATAGGTTAGGTAAAACTGTCAATAATGAATGCCAGTCTGCAGGTCAGGCTATGTGGAAAAATAACTGCATAACCTGTCAGTACTAACTACAATATTATCTCTGTTTTCACACAATTATGGCCCTATAATCAAGCTGTGAATTTATCCACTTCCTCATCTGACACATACGGAGCTAAGAAATGGTGTGGTATAATAGTAAGGGGTTTAGAAGTGCTTCAACAACATTGTTATTTGCATGTGATGTGATATAAGCTGGACTATGTGTACAGCTAATTCCCAGGGAAACATTAGAGCTTTTACTGAACAGAGAAAACACTTTTTTACGTTCTTCTAATTTTAGTGGTCTGACAGCACACTACTAGCCCCACCAAAGCATCTGCAATTGGAAATTTTATCAAGCTGGTTTTTTCAAAATGTTAGTTTGATAACTTGAACTTTCCATACAAGTCTTATTTAGGAGGAGAATTAAAATCATAATCTTGACATAACTCAAATTATTAAGAGAACAGCCTACAGGGACTGGAGTTCACTCTACAAGTTCTGGGACAATGGACAGTAAACTGCACACACATATATACAATACAAAATTAATTTTAATATAGGCATTTACAGAGATTACAAGTATACAACAATTGTGCATGCTCAAATGGTATCACAACTACAGACTGATGTTCATCTGTCACTCTTTTCTTATGGGAGGGCTTTCTGGGACAAATTTCCTCCAGATATCTCACTTCATCTGCTCTTCAGTCTATACATTGCTTTATTTTTCACCCATTAGTTCCAGTTTCAATAAAGCATAAAACCAGGGTGTTGTGAAATGTACCTATTTCACTGTACCACCTTGTTCTATGCCTTTTCCAGGAAATTTACCTTCTGTATTAACCTGAAAAGTATAAAATATACCTGAGAAGTGACTATGAATATTACTTAAACCAAACTACTGTATTCTAGATCAGTAAATCTCATGGTACAGCAAGAACACTACTATGTTTCAGGGCAGCAAATAGTAGACAATACAATGCTAGGGACATGAAAATAATAACATACATGTATGTAACCCTTTCTACATACTTCAAACATATATTACAACCAGAGATGATATCATATTATTAATCAATTGATTTTCATTTACCTTCAAGAATCATGCATTGAAAACTACTAAAAAAGTCACAAGATTTTATTGTATTTTAATATTTTGAAGTGACAGAATGTAGACCTAATAGCATTTATTCATTACTAATCACCCCTGATGCTGTTAGAACTCTCTTGAAACTTGTAGGATAAAGTATACATTTTATTACATCAACTGAAATATATGGGTGTATTAGATGGTTTTATTAAGTTAACTCATAAATTAAAAATACAATGGTAATAACAACACAGTTAAAAGTAGTGACTCAGTTTCCCAGCCAAAGATGAACATCTTCTCATGGCTAGAGCCTGTGAAAACTTCAAACTAAAATATATTGACAATACACTGTCCTCATATTATCTTGAGACCAACTACTTTTTTATTTTATTATCCAAATACTTCGACTAATGTAGCACTCTCATTATACACTTGTTTCATATACACAACCTATGAATATCTGTATGAAAATATTTTGTATAAATACCTACATTTCTGTATACTTTTAAATTCTTTGCAACCAAATATACAGAAGAAAACCGAATATTTGTACATTTAGCCACAATAGTAGTACTAAATTGTAACTGGATGGATCCTTGTTCCCTTTAACAATTTACGAGTATGCTAGTCATTTCTTTCCTCCTTTCTTCATCCTTTTACTTCATAACACAAGTCTTGCTATACCTTATGTAATCTGTGGTGTTGATTTTTGAGTGTGTGTTTTTCTTGCAGGATGGAATTTATGCATTTACATATGTCTAAGCATCTATCTGAAGACCACTTTTAGAACGCCATCCAAAAATTCAGTTTCCTTGGAGTTCTTGATATGGAAGTTTTACTGTGCTTTTACATTGGACAAAGTATTGGTTAAAATGCTTTTCTATAGCTTCTTCCTCTCATGCAATACTGCTGCACTATATTTAGAAAACTGCTTCCTAAGTACTCAGGTTATGCAAGTTCATAGTGAAGAGGCATAATCTTGTGAAACAGGCAATGTTGTTTCAAAATTCTTGATTTTATTGCCAAATAAATATATCTGACCAAGGATGATGCATAATTGTCGAAATATTCTTGAGAGTCATTGGCACTATTTCAGTTCATCATAATAATCATTCAGAATAGTTAGTACTGTTGTTTATGTTGCTAACCTTCAAAGTATACAGCGTATGTTGCATTTTTTACTTGATCATAAAATATAAAATGTAAAATGGAAATAAATTACAAAATTCTGTCTCGTTTTTTTAAAGTTAATTTAACTGAATGTCGTCGTTACAGGGATCAAAGATATCAGAGTTACCAACTGTACAATAAATCACTTACTACAGAATATGCAGTTTCATTGTTTATCCACTCTTTGCTTAGTAATGTGGAATATGCCAGCAGTTGTCACATTTTGAAGTTCCATAGTTGAGACATGGATGCTTGTGATGTATAACGCCATACATTTGGCAACAGATAGCATATGTCTTGTTCAAAGCATTTCTGGTAGAAAAAAATACTTAGGTATGCTGGGTGATAGATTGACTGTCTTCCTAAGTTTCATTTTTTAAAAAAATATTATCTCTAGGGTGCCTTCAACCTGAAGAATCATACCCAGCGTTTACATGAATGTACACACACTGGAGCTGGCTTATGGCAAAACTTCCATACAAGGAAAGCTACTACTACATTACCTGACATTACTGAGATTTTGGACTTCGTCCATCCTGCAGTATTCTAAAAAATACGACGTTTTAGAAATTGGATCTGCTTCCATCCTCAGATAACAGGGTTGGGTCCGTTAGAAAGGGCTGACTGAAATCCAGTGATTGAAGTTAGCTCTTCCTAAGAGATCCAACAGTATTGGTGCCTCCCACCCTTTCATCTGAAGATGGAAACAAGTCCAGTTTCTAAAATGCTGTGTTCATTAGAATGCCAAATGGCTGCTGACAAGTCCAAAAACTCAGTGATCCAAAGTGTTACACACCATTGTCAGAACCTTTTAGAATTGACTTATGGTTACATTAGTTGTCTGAAAAATGCAGCAATGCCTTCTATAGGAATTGCAACATTTAGTCCCTAGGGAACAGTCACACATAAATACTATCAAGAAAAGTGTTTCTTTGATCTAAGATTGCCTTGTGAAAATTCGAATAATAAAATATTAAATATTAAAATGTTTGTTTTAAAAAATTAATTATTAAAATATGTTTTATTTAGAAAATTATATAAGAATACATTATGAAACTGCAATTGAAAGTCCATGTACTGAAGAACAGTGTGTTATTTTCACTTTGTAAAGCTCAGAGAATTTTAGACAACGATCTAATCGTGTCTGATTTTGAATATGTATCTTATTTATTGACAATCCTGAGTAACTTGGAATAGTTAATTTCTGTATTGTGTTCCTCACACTGGCATAAGTACTTTTAGGATTATGATGGGTTAATTTACTGCTTGATATACTTTCATATGCATGAAATGTTGCAGTGGGAGACATATCTTAATGCACTGTATCAGGGGATGCCAAAACCTAGCTGACATATTCTGCATGGTGAATTACAGTATAGCAGCTGGCTCATCACAATTCATACACATCACGGCCGTTTGGACGGCTTGTACTTGGCCGACAGGAACCTGCTGAACGCTTGAGGGTGGCTGTTTTGCACACCTCACGTGCACGTTGTGGACTTGTGTAAGAGTACATGTTATAACCAGGGATGATATGCACACGCACATCTCCTGTTGGCCTTGTGGCTTGTGACAAAACTTCTGAAGCTCCTCGGGGCCGTCTTGAAAAGGACACTGTTGTCTTGCAACAACAATAGTGGAATAAATTAACGTACGCATTTCGAAAGTGACGGTTAGTTAGGCAGTACAGAAAATTGTTGATGCAGGACTTACTGAGCGCAAACCATGCCAAGTTGTAGAACAGTCTGCCTGGAATGGTATGCACAGACCCTATACCTAAAGTAATACCAAATGGGAGCCAAAACACCACAAACAACACAAAACTGTACATATTTGTCTTCATGAGAGCATAGTCCCAACTAAATGACATGGGCGGTTTGAAGCTGGGCCTTGACTTGGCCACTCGGATGCGGAGAGTAATATGGAGATAGCAAGCAAATGTAAGGGAAGCAGGCAGGAATACAAAGAAGGCACCCACAATGACATAATAAGGGAGAACATCTCCTGTGAGTCGACGCCGGGTGCAATAACCAGGTCCCACATTGTACACAAATTGTAAGGTGACAGTTAACCCACTTAGCAGCCAGATTGTAAGAACGACTATGGTGATTCTCGTGGAAGTGAGCATTTCATAGCAATCCTGTGACAAGCAGAGACGTGCATAATTTTCAGCAGCTGTGGCTGCCAATGTCAGGAGTGTTACCAGGCAGCACAAGATAGCCAGGAACCACTGGAAGTTGCACACACCAGGAGCATCCTTCAGACCAGCAAGCAATACTACTGTAGATGCTGGGAACACCAACCCTGTGATCAGCAGATCAGCCAATGCCACATTCACAATGAAGACATTTCCTGAAACACAAGTGCTTGGTCCAATTTATAGTGAAAGTACACTATATATACTAAAAATATATATGGGTATTTAAATCTGTAAGCATTGTGTAGTAATTGGTGTCAATGAATCAGAATGGTTTCGAATATTTTAAGGAAGTATCTTATCATTGGTATACGTTCTTTTGCATAGCATGGAAGACAAGACTGCATGTACTGGTGGTACTGTTTTTCTGGCCATTTGTCCTTCCATATTTTTGAGCACTGTGAAGAATATATGGACCTAAGAGACATTAAAATTGGCCTGTGAGAAAATTCATAATTTGTATATTTTCCTACATATGTTGAGATGATGGAATCAAGGAGTGATTTGAATGGGGATGTAGCCTGGATGGGAGAGAAGAGAAATGTACATGGAATTTCAGTTTGAAAACTTGAAGGGAAGAGGCTTCTGCAGAAACCTAAGAAGAGTTAATACGATATTAAAATACACTTTAAATAAGCAGGAGGTCTAGATCGAGATAGCGTCCAGTGGCAGTGTGATATGAACATGATGATGAACCTTTGGATTTCATAAAAAGTGTGGAAATTTTCGAATAGCTGATAGAATATTAGCTTCTAAAAAATGACAGCTTTGTTTAATTCTTTATAATTTTCCTTCCACATTATTTAGAACACAAAATGTGGATATATTTTCCAGCCTTGAAAATTGGACAGCTTATATACTTTGTCTGCATCAAAGTGATGCAAGCAAACACATTTTTTTTTATCATTTCTCTGTCCCACTTACAAGATTAGAACAGGTGAATAATGTCCAAAGAATTCGAATCCATGCCACTTTCACAAGATGTTATATTTTTCTGGCCCCTAATTAAATCCCTTTTAGGCGCATGGTGAGTTTCATAAATTCATTCAATTTTGTGATGAGTAAGGTGTCATGGATCTTGTCGCGCCAAGGCAACAGTAAAATATTTTCACCAGTGTATAATTCCACCATTTCCAGCAGATTTCAACTAACATCATACATCAAACACTGTCATATGCTACATAGGAGACTCGGTGGGCTCCAGAGCCGTTCTGAACGTTGTGGAGAAGATAAACATCTTGGCCTTAGCAGGAATAGAAATTTGAGGTAGGGCTCAAAGAAAAGAAGGAACTGAAGGAAACTAAGGGTCTGTCACGGTAGCTGCACTGCGCTTGGAGATTCAGAATCTGGGACCTAATGAACACAATCGGCAGTGGTGCCATTGCGTTTGGTCCCATCTCACGATAGGTTGTAGTAAACGTACAGACAGCAATTTGCATGATGTTGCAAACTTACGAAAATCAATAGCTAACCCTCTTCACTACAGCAATATCCGAAATGGAAGGAGCGTAGGTTACACTACTATTCCGTTATTAAAATCCAAGCAACTGCCGATAACTTTCCGGCGGCAACAACTGTTCACATGCAGCATCCGTTACTGCCTTGGCGAGAGTTATTTCAGCTGCGTCAAGAATTACAGACCCAAGTCACCGATTCTACTGCAATTTCTGGACCACGCAAATATTTCAGTTGCGTTAAGATCTATGGGCCCAAGCACCAGATTGTAATATATTTTCTGGGCCATGCGGTTTTCTGGCTAGTACCTAAGTGGAGTGTCTTCACTATCAATTTCAACAGTTCTTTTTACCTATTTCTTTCAGCTGCGTCAAGAATTACAGACCCAAGTCACCGATTCTACTGCAATTTCTGGACCACGCAAATATTTCAGTTGCGTTAAGATCTATGGGCCCAAGCACCAGATTGTAATATATTTTCTGGACCATGCGGTTTTCTGGCTAGTACCTAAGTGGAGTGCCTTCACTATCAATTTCAACAGTTCTTTTTACCTATTTCTTTTCGTGTCCGTCTTTCTTTTTGTGCGTTATTTGTTCGAAGTGCATAAAATAAACATATGGAGACCATGGACCAAGTCCGTTTCGGTTCGTATTGTTCCGATATTAACTCACAGTAAGTTTAAAGCAAAATTTATACACTTAAGAAAATAAGTTATGAAATACACGCACAGGATAGCAATTCTTGCGCGTTTACTCCGTTATTATCTAGACACTGGTGAACATTATTTATGCACTCTTATAAATGGTGCAAAACAAGCGTGGCGGACGATCAAGTACCTTTAGTACAAAATCTAACACAATATACTCGGTAAATGTGACGAGAGAATAAAAACTCCTTCGGTTTAACTGTCTCAGAAACCTCAAGACCTGGCAACGAGAATATCAGCGTCAAATATGTGTATCTACAACTTCTCTTCGAAACATTCTTCGCTCGGATAAATAATTAGCGAGTTACGTCCGAGATGCTTACAGAAAAACATGTAGGCCTTTATGTAAAATATCCGTTATTCTTATTTGATCTGCTCGTAAAAAAAGTTGTATCTTCTAACAAGAGATGGCTCTATATTGAACAAGACGGTCTGCTACACATACGACTCCTGCATTAACATTTCAAATGCCCTGCTGATTTCAAAGGGCGGGTGTCTGGAATGTGCATTAATCCCTCCAAGTTAGAAATTTTTAGACCGTATTTCTCCTAGAAAAGGACATCAACAAGGTAAAGAAGATGCAAGGGAACATTCTGCTCTTTCTTGCTTGGCTAAAACTTTGACCCTGAACATGGAATCGATATATTTCTCTGAAACATTGCGATCTCTCCACATTACACGTTGTTAAAACGAATATTTGCAAACAAACTTGGTTTATGTGTGATACAATTTAACGTTTATCATCGGCGATTATTTTAGGTAAGGCGCCCAGTTATGGTAAACTTACGAATGTTCAATTCCTACCTCGCTTCTTAAGGTGATCCTCAATCATTACGGAACTGATCATGAAAATGTTGCCCACACTGCCGATGACGGCGAGACTAGCTATCAGCAGCAGACGCGCCACTCTGCTCCAATCGGCGCTCAGCGTCACTGGGGAAACTGACTCTTGCAGGTTGGCGTCGTCCCCGTTCGGGGCGCTCGCGTTCCCAGACATGGCTTCCTGAAACATGATTCGCATGAGATTCAGGTTACAACACAGAGAAAGGTTGTACCAAATAACTGGGTAAATATAAAAAGTCCGGATTTGTTTAAATTTTCTTTGCCATCAACCACGTCGATGCTGAGTAAAATTTCGCTCTTAAATCTAACTAGGATTCTAATCGCACCCGAAGACTCGACCACAATACTTGTACATTGCTTTAACAGAATCACTACCGTATATATGTATTTGCAAGAGTGAGCGGACAATTTCATATTACCTTTGAGGTTCTTGTATCACATCCGTGGTAGAAGACAGGAACAGAAAATTTACATACTTTTTACTCAGGTGTACGTAGTATGCGCAGTATTATGCAGTGGAACCTCGCTTAACGAGTAATTCGCACAACGAGCAAAACAAATTGTAAGAGAATGACTCACTTGACGAGCGACGTTTCGCATAACGAGTGACGAGAGGGGAAGTCCCGGATTGTGCGCTTGCCACATCAGTCTGTGTTTAGCACTCGTTCCGCTAGCATCTTAGTGTCGCTTGTGATCACATATTTTTCCAAACTTGTGTTCAGACATTTGTGATTTTTTTTGTGCAAAATTTAATAACCCTTGCAAAAATGTCCCCGAAGAAAAAGACAGCCATAAGAGAATAAAAGTAACCGTAGAAATGAAACGTAAGATCATTGAAAAGCGAGAACGAGGTGTGAGCGTGGCCGATCTAGCACGTACATACAGTCGGTCTACATCAACAATTTGCACTATCCTCAATAACAAGGACAAGATGAAGGAGACAGATGCTTCAAAGGGAGTGACAAGAATACCTACGCAACGGTTACGTATTCTCGACGATGTTGAAAGGTTGCTCCTCGTATGGATAAACGAAAAGCAATTGCAAGGCGACGCTATTAACGAGAACATCATCTGAGAGAAGGCGAAAGTGAATTTCGCCGACCGCGTTAAGAAGACGCCGGGATCATCAACGGCCGGATAGCGTTGTCGAATGTGACTTTGAGGGGTTTGAGATAGTACCTGCGGAGCCTGTCGTCACCGAGATTTTGTCTTTGGCCAAGATCATTGGGCTGGAGATGGATAACAATGATATCGATGAGATTGTGGAAGAGCACAGCCAAGAGCCAACCACCGAAGAGCTTATGCAGTTGCGTTGTGATTCACAGCAAGAAGTTGTGGAGGAGAGTTTGTCAGAGGAGGAGGAGGAGGAGGTAACAGCAAAGCAACAATCTTCTGGCGCAATAAGAGAAATGCTGAAAGCATGGGAAACTGTTGCATCGTACATTGAGAGGCATTACCCTAATAAGTCAGTGGCTATGCGCGCTACAAATTTATTTAATGATGCTGTGTCGCTTTTTCACCAAAATTTGAAGCGTCGGCAAAAACAAATGTCTCTAAACAGCTTTCTAGTAAAAAAGAATTAGATATGTGTCATAAATAATAAACTAATTATTTCAATTTTTGTTTTCTGCAAATCGAATTCGCATTCCAGGTTGGTTCATTCCGCATAGAAGAAAAGATGAAGATGATTCACGCTCCTTAACAATGTATATATAATTTTCTTTGAATAAACGTTATACATATTTTTTTTAGTGTTTCTTTCGGCATGGAACGCATTATTCACAAGACCTCGCCACTGGACCCTATTCTGAGAAAATTAAAACCACATACGTGCGTATGTTATGTTGTTCTCACGTCGTGGTAGTTTTCGGCTACATAACAAATTGCAGCTCGGTATTAGCTATTGTGCAACTTGAAGGATAAAAACCCAACTGTTTTAACTTAGAAAGCAACACAAGATAAAGTTACGAAAGAGATAAAGAAAGGAAACAACGGATGAAACAAATTATTCATTGTTGAATTTTAACGGGGTTTCCCATTAGTATTTATCTTAGTCATTCATTCATTCATTCATCAGTAGCACTATAGTACTTGGTTGGTCCCTGGCTTCTTCTTTAGTTTCTTGATCATTTTGACACAGACGGTAGGACTCTTTGGACGGGGGATCAGCACGTCTTAAGGCCGCTACCTACACATGGTGACACAACCACAGAAAAACGTACACAGACATTCATGCTTTTTAGTGGGATTAGAACCCACGATCGCAGCGTTCGACCGAGCAAAGACAGTTCATGCCTCAGACCGCGCCGGCCACCGTGCTCTACAGTATTTATCTAGTGTCCATGTTAATTTTATCTTCATATTCACACCCAACTCTCAAATGTTTCATATCTCACCAATTTAACATTTACTATTTTAATCACCTTAATGGTACTTGCTGAAGAACAGAAAGTCTGAAACTCAATATTCCCCTCAGTTTTCTTTACCTGTCTTGGATTTAAAAACATCTGTTTTTAGTTAACGGAAAGCTGTAACAACTCTTCCATAACAGCAACGCTGTAGGGCCTAATGTTTTTTCCTTGTTTACTGTTTTCAGTTCTTCATGTTCTCATCTGCTTTAATATTGCTGAAGAAAAGAGAGAGAAACATGTTTTCAACGACCTTTTTACCTTTACATGGCTTTCAACCACAGGCCTGGGAGCGCTAATCACAAAAGCTTAACGTCATTCCAGATTACTTTGGTGAATAAAGGGGGTTAATTCATCATCATCGCAAGGGCGAGCCATATGCTGATCTCATCATGCGAACTCAGGGGCTGTATTTCTCGCCCACAGTCAAAAACACATTTGGTTTTATAATGAATCAAGTGCATGATCCGTGCTAATTGGCAGCCATATTTGGGCACGCATTTTAATATTAAATATTTATAATTTGAACAAAAATTTCATATCACCATTTCCGTATGATTAATCAGATATTCCAGTCTTCTCAAGAGCCAACATTATGTTTAGAAACCCTCTTTTATATATAATATTCACTATAGACACTCAATTGAAACTGTTACCAAACCGAAAGAAGCATTCATTCTTATAAATGGTATTGTTTACATAGTATATAGGAAACGGATTAGCAATATCGATTGGGCTCAACCGAGTAGGTCTTTTACCTGAGGACGGAGGCACAGTCCAGTCTCCGAAACGTAGTTTTCAATGAAAAATGGGGCAAGGGATAATGTCAAAAAAGTCAAATTTTTTAATATACTATCGTAATGAAATATTAGATCTTATTAGTTCCAGTTTATTGTGTACTTTGTCGCTTCACACACCTAAGCTAACATTCGTGTTCTCTGTATAAAAAAACTCCTGGTCAGTCCAAGCCATATTTTAACTATATACCTCAAATTAATTTGGTTTTTCGAAGTAATGTTTCTTGTGTTTTCCTGTTTGGTGACTAGTCAGGGTTGCTTATGTAGTACATTGTGTATCCTTGAAGCTAAGCTCAAATGTGGTGATGCAGTGCAATGTGTGTCTTTGAATTTTGTGTGACCGTCAATCACAAAACTTGAAAGTAAACACAAAGATTACGCAATATCATAAAATAATTTTAAATTGATGGCAAGTTACATGACAGCTAAAACGCAATAGGGCGAATTTCTTAAAGAACTGTAACGAATTTATGTGATTCCAACAATTAATATAGACATTGACCCATAGCAATTCTGCACATACCATACATCCCTAAATTTTGTGGTACGGAGACCCATTGTTAGACAACGCCCGAGAAACAAACAAATATACAACAGCCAGTCCTCCGCCAACAGACAAGAACATAACAGTTTCCCTGTAACAGAAGAACGGTGTTTTCTACGCAGTCCGTGCCGAGATATTCTAAGAACGACAAGTTCAGATCAAGATCATGAGAATGACTTACATATAGGTGTGACTTGGCCCTCAGAGACACATCTCAACCCTCCATGAGAGACTCTTCATTCGATATTATCACTTTTATCGGACTGACCGATTTCCGGGAAGAAAAGGCATTCCCCATAATCATGTAAACCCATACTATATGTACAATATGTGTACTTGACAAAGGCAAACCCCATTCATAAGAGACAAACTCATCCCCTCGTCAGAGAAGATGTTACAGAAGTACTATGGCCGCAATGGTTCGACTGAAAAAAGAAAAAAAGGCTGATCGTAATCCTCAACGGACTTGACGCGAAGACGAACCGATTGGCGGTAAACCGCCAGTCGTGAAGTAACTGTGACTCTGACCGTGAGAGGAAAACTGAGTTGAGGATGGAGTTAATTGAGGAAAGGAGCGAGGAGCTGGATATATAACGAGGCCAAGCAGCATCCAGCCGTGAGTCGAGGGAGAGTGCGTAGATTAACAAATAAGTGACAGTTTTATAGCAGTTGTAGTTAGTGTGAATCGTTGGCACCGCACCGAAAAACAAGTTGTCGCACAGAAGGAAACGAGTAGGAGAGAGCCTAAAGCATGTTGTGTTTGAGAAAGATGGCTCTCGCTACGCTAACGCAATGCGAGACGCTGGCGGGTGGTGCATCCCTCGTTCGATGAGAGACATGAAAAATGAATAACGGAACTCCTGGATACGAAGGAGGAAATGGATCTAGTGCAAGCTCCTACAGTTAAAATGGGGCAGGTTGTTCGGAATTCGCCCGAAGCGAATGGACATGGCGCCAAGTGGAAACAACTAGCGAACAGAGCTGGAGCAGACAGGCACAAACTCTGCAAGTTTATAGATGGACAGGCGCTATTTACCGGCTCATTTCACATGTATGCAGCAATATACAAGGAAGTGAGGAACAACCTTCAACAGAACAGTGAGGAATCAGGGTGGAGTCGAACTGGGTCCACTCGGCACGGCGACCACTGTTTGGCCTATTGTAGCCTGCCCCTGGTGATTATGATAATGGAGAATTTTGTGCATTGAAGATTGGTAGGGGAAACCGAAGTACTCGATAAAAACCTGCCCCAGATCCACTTTGTCCACCAGAAATCCCACTTGACCAGACCTGGAATCGAACCACGGGCCGCCGCGGTGGGAAGCAAGCGACTAACCGCTTGAGCTGTGGCGCGGCCATGAGAGAGCCACAAACACTGAAGGTGAGAGCTACACCAAGAAACAGGACAGAC